TCACTCCCCACTCTCGCCTTCCCGCCTACACAGGGGAGATAGATGGGGTCAGGGTCAAGGTGATGGGGAATTCCTTTTATAAGCAACTGAGGCAGCATTCCATTGCCGATCCAGTACCAGCAGTCAGAAATACCAGTCTGAGGCAACAGTGAAAAAATCCAAAAGCCTTTGTGGAAATTGCTGTATTTCTACCTTAAGGCACCTTTTGAACATTCAGTCCAAGATTAGCTTTCGGGGCACTAGTTTGGCCATTAAGCAAATTTATCTTAGTTCAATGTGCAGCGGGCACCGTTTAACAGAGCTCAGGACTCAGTGTCTCCTTTAAAAGCAGTCCATCCTCTCAACAAAAATAGAACCCAGGGAGTGACAGCAGAGCCTCCTGCCGCCTGAACCATCTTTACAAACAGTTATTCTATTTTCAAAGGAAGAATATATTTTTTTCAATCGTGTTTAGACATTGTGTAGCTTAAAGGCGAGCACACCAAGATTAATTGTGTTGTGACCATTAGCAAAGCAGGCAGGCCTGAGATAAATGGTCTGCTCAGAACATCTTTCCCACACTACATGCAGAATTTTATTTTCTGTATTGCTCTCTGATGGTCTCAAGGGTTCACTGTATTTATATAAAGATTCTTTGCCTCTCCAAAGCCCAGAATGTTGATATTTTAACACGTCATCTTCAAAGACTCCAGTGTGAAAAGAATTCATTTTTAAAAACCTGTTATCTATATCCCACAGTTATTTACAAAGGAAAGGGGACTTTTTATAGCAAATCTATGTAAATCAGTGGTTCTCCAGAGGGGGTAGTTTTATTCCCCAGAGGTCATTAGTCAAAGTCTGAAGATATAAGTGGTCATAGCCAGTATCTAGAGGGCAGAGCCCAAGGACTCTTTGAAGTGTCCAGGACAGACCTACAGCAAGGAATTATGCAGCCTAGGTGTCAGTCAGACTATGGCTGATCTTGCTGTAGATATTTTGGCTTCATATCACAATGCAGCTTTGTTTCATCCAATGGAGAATTAGCTTATAACAGAACAGACTGGCACCTGTGTCCTTAGGAATTGCCATAGATGATGGGTTAACATGAGTGCACACATTCTTTTTTTTTTTTTTCTCTACATGTCTGGTCAGAGAGACTACCATGCTGGGAGTGAGACTCAATCCGTAGCAGTTAGGACTTACATAGCTCAATATGTTAGAGGGAACTAATGCTTTCCTTGTTAGTCATGGCAACCGTCCCAATTGTCTATGGAGAAGCGACACAGAACTACATCTTCTGCTGATATTCAGGGGGGAAACACCCCTTACGATCAGGATATTTACTCTACCAGTGATATGCACACAACCTTGGGGAACTCCTTGGCTCAACAACATTATGACTCATGGTTTCAGGTGGCCTGTCACATGCTAAGAACACATGGCCCTGACTCTGCCCATATATGAGTCTACATTGTTTTTTAAAACCACATCTATATTTTTCAATCCTACATTTTTCATACATCAACAGGGAGGGTTTAATCAAGGTTTGGGGAACCCTCAAATTCTGCTGCTGCTTGTGCACATAGATCCAATTTTCACAGCTTGTATAACACTCTCACCTTTTGGGCACCGGGAAAGACATCCTTTGCTTGTGGTAGAGCCTAGGAAGGAGCCCATAGGGATAAAATTAACCAAACACCTCTTCATTGTTTCTTCTAGAAGACATGGAACTTGCCAAGACAAATGTATCAATTTATTCTTCATAACTGCCAGGAGCACCTGAATTTCAAGGCAGCAACCATCCAACTTGCAAAGTAAAATCAAAGTGGTTGGTGTTCTGTACCAAGCCTTCAGGTATGGTTTCACCACTACAAGCCTATGCCAACAGAGAGGCTGGACAGGGGCCTGCAACAGATTGTTCAATCTCTTTGAACTTTATTTATAAGCTGTTAACTGTAATTATAGTAACAGGGGTAATGTGAGTTAAGAAAAATACCTTCATCTTAAAAATATCTTTTTAGGGTTAAGCATGTCCATGGGGATCCCAGGACCCAAACAGATTAAATGTCAGAATCCCAGAGAATACCTAGAAAACCCTAAAACCTTACCAAGGACAACAGTAAACTCACTCTGCAGACAGGACTAACAGCACTGATGTGCCAAAGGATGAGCACACATTGGTATCAGACATTCTAACAACAGTAGATATCAGAAGGCAAGATGCCAACGTTTACAGAGTTCAAAAGGAAAATGCAGTTATCCCTTGAATTACATATCCAGCCAAATAATCTGTGATGAACAAAGGAGAGATAGACATGTTCCCTGAGCCAGGCAGTGGTGGAGCATACCTTTAATCTCTGCACTTGGAAGGCAGAGACAGTCAGATCTCTGAGTTTGAGGCCAGTCTGTTCTATAGATTGAGTTCCAGGACTGTTACACAGGGAAGCCTTGTCTTGAAAAAAAAAAAAAGTTCCCAGGTATGCAATAGCACAAAGAATATAGTATTCACGAATCCCATGTGCAAATGTTAGCTGAAGGGCTTGCTCTAGAGATATAGAAATAACGGAAGTTTTGTTTCTTTGGGTTTTTTTTTTGTTTGTTTGAAATAAGGTCTCATGTAGCCTAAGCTCATCTCACACACAGTATGCAGTTGAGGATGAGCTAGAACTCCCAATAATCCTGCCTTCATCTCTCAAGTGTTGGGATGTCAGGTGCACACCACTATGGCCAGTTTTATGATGAACGGGCTTAAGAGAGCAGTAAAGTCATGAGAACATGTAATAATGAAGTGTGATCAGAAAGGGACAAGCAAGTCAGGGGACACACTGTAGGCTCACACAGACTTAACCAGATGCCCTGTTTGGAGCAGCAGCAGTAATTAGCACAGGATCACATTACTCTCCAATAGACTCCTTTATGCGCAAGATTCATCGGATCATAATAGTTATATAGTGGTTTAGAATAATATCTGAGGACAAAGCTTGTAAGGCTCAATTAAAAGTTGCTCATTGAATTTAAGCATTATAAACCTTAGCAATAAAAGATAATGGGACTAATTCAAACTGGGAAGTAGAGGGGATCAGAGAGTGAGGATAAATATATAAGTACATGTCTTAATTTTCCCCAATAGAAAGTGAAGGTGCTGCCTAAAACAGATAATGTAAGAATATAGAATTATGGGACTTAGGACAGCTGCTCTTTGTAACTCTTTCTTTTGACGTTTCCCCAGAGGCCTCAGGCGATGAGGTTGGATAAGACCAATAAGTTATAAGCACAAAATTGGAAAGGAGGCAGAGAAAGGATTACTACTTGTAGATAACACATCCCCCATAATTGCAGTACCACAGAGAATCTTCTCAAAAACTGTTACAGATTGTAAATGAACCCTGTACGTGAGTAGAACATGTCAGAAATTGATAGTCTTAATAAATTATAAGGAATGATAACATTTGCAAAAACAGCAGAAGGTAAATTACCAAGAAGAAACTTACACTGGAAACGCAGAAAGCCTTCCCGAAGAAAACTTGACATCCATCATCCCTGATAGAACCAATGTGAAAGCCAACAAGCAGAAAGAGCATGGAGATGTCTGCGTGGCTCAAACTACTCTACAAGAAGTTTTGGTTTGCGTGTGAAATGTCCCCCCACGCATCATGTGCTTGAATATATTGTTGCCAGCTAGTGGCATTGTAGAACCTTCATGGGGTGGGGCCCAGCTGGCAGGAATCCTGGGGGACACATCTTGAAAAGTCTCTCTGCCCATAACTGGGGCCAGAAGAAACTGCTGCTTCGTCGGTCGCCACAAAGCGACCAAAAAACTCACTGCTAGATCTCAGCAACACACCCCAGAGTCGCTCCTACCACTATGTCCTCCTCATAAGAAGACTGAAACCTCTTGAGACTATGAGCCCGAATACATCTTTCCTCTGATAAGCTGTTTCTTTCATTGCCGCAGCATCCGGAAGAGGAAACAGCACACAAATGTAACGTGTTCCAAATCTAAATATTAGCTAGTGAGATAAAGAAGAACAGTCATTCATATTGCAAATTAAGATGCAGTTTGCAGTCTTGATACTTAGCAGGATGGGTTACCATGTTATAAGCACAGACAGTGGAAAGGTGAGTGACAGAGGCCCGTGCACAGTCCAACCTGGATCCAATGGGCAGCTCGCAGAGGTGACGCCAATGTGACGTTTCCCTTTGTATAGATTGTGTAATGATAAGATGATTCACTAGTGTAGACATCCACCTACATTTTCATCTTTCTTTCTCATGAATATACTTGGAGTCTTCTCTTCTAGCTCTTTTGAGATGCACAGTGAAAGCATTGGGAAGATGTTTAAACAAACATTTTGGAGATAATCAAGCAATTGAAGTGAGATGAAGGAAGGCTCTCTGTCCCTTAACGTGTCTCAAATAAACTCCAAAAAATAACCAAGAAGGAAGTGCATGTAGATTTTTTTTTTTATTAAGTCAGAAAAACATTGGCAGAAAATAGTGTTGTGCTTTGGAGTCTGGAATCCAGGAGCCTTTGCTAACTGTGACCCCAAATCCAGATGCCAAAGAGAAAAGGTGGAGCCTTCTAACTCTGTAAAATCATTATTGTTTTTCAGGGCAGGTACCATAAGTAAAGTCACAAGATGGACAACACACTGGGAAAGCTATTTCTAGCTCATTTCACAGAGGATCAGCTAATCTTCCAAGGGCACAGGCCATTTCTTGTCAAAATGGCCAGTCATTTGTAGAAAAATGGAGAAAGGACATTAACAGAAAGTTCCCAAGGAATAAACTAGCTTTTAAACATGAAAAGTTGGTGAGCCTTACTTGTAAAAGAATAAAAACCAAATCAAAATTGCTCTGTAATGCCAGTTTTCATTTGGCAGTTTAGCCAAACCTAAAAGCCCACAGTAAACCCATAATAGGACAGAGCTGACTTGTTGCCAGAGAAGACTATTCATTCCACATCTCCTAGGGAAAACAATTCACCGATATTTGCCAAAATTAAAAGCATGTTTACCCATGTTCACTTCAGCAGCTCATCTACCAAAAGCAGAATAACACAGAAAAGATTAGCATGACCCCTGTGCAAGAACGCCATACAAACTGGTGCATTGTTCAGTATTTGGGAAAAATGCATTTATTTGTTGACATAGTCTTTCAGTATTAGGATTCTATGCTACATGAATCTCATACTTACACAATTACGTGTTAGCAGATTTTTTATTATGACTTTTCTACTATAGTAAAAGATTACACTATCATCCAACAATGCTATTCACTTAAATAAATTATAACAGCCACTCAGTGGAATATTATACAGTTACAATAAAGAAAGAGAAAAGAAAGAAGCTTTTTCTATACTAATGTGGAACTATCCAGAAATACTTTTAATACATATTAATCCATTATGGTATTCTGGTATAAGAGGAAGAAATATCTTCACAGTTTAGTTTTTCTCTATCTGCACAAAGAATCACTACAACCACAAAAATACTCACAAAACGGCTACCCATCCATAAAAGTCTATGTAACAAATAAGAAACTAATAAAATTGGCTATTGATATTCCTCTAAAATGAAAGAAATTCTATCTAGGTATATACATGAAAGACTAGAAAGCAAGAACTCAAATAAATAAGTCTACATTGATGTTCATAACATTATGAACAATAACCCAAAGGTAGGAATATCACAAATGCTCACCAGTAGTTGGAAAGATAAATATGACTATATATTTATGTATAACACAGACACAGACACACACACACACACACAGACACACACACACACACACACACACACACACACGACTATCATTCAGCCTTGAAAACTAAGGAAATTCTGATATATATCAACATCTTCAATGAATTTTTAAAGGCATTGCGCTAAGTGAAATAAACAACACACAAAAGACAAACGTTGCAGGATTCCACTTACATATAATGCGTGAGACAAGTCTCCAGAGGAACAGAAGTGATATATAATGAATACATACAAAGGGGTTTAGTCAATTGATTTACACGTTGGCTGGGTAATCCAACAGTGGCCGGCTGCTCACTGCAAAAGCTAAAAGAAAGCTCAGTAGCTCTTTTGTCCCCAAGGCTGGACAACTTATCAGTCCCAATCTGACACAGAAAATCTGGAGGAGTCTTGGAGAGCTGTTGGTCCTTAGTCCATTTTTGAAGCTGGGTTCTGATGGCTTAAAGGACAGCAGCACAGTTGCTTTGATAGATGATGTGCCTTCACCAGAGAGGAGTAAAAGCTGACACGCAAGTCATCCCTGTTTGTCCCTCAAATTCCATTATGACTGAGCCACCCCCAGAAGATGCACCAAGAGGTAGCTTCACAAACCCACCCAGAGGTGTGTATCCTAGTTGATTCCAGACCCAATCAAGCAGACACCCAGAGTTATCTATTACAAGCAAGGAATCAAGAATAGCCAAATTCATAGAGATAGAAAATAAGACAGAAAGTCCTGGAGGCTGAGCAGGAGATGGAAGCTCCGACTAGCAGTCTCACCTTGGGAAGATGGGGTGACTCTGCAGATAGGTCAGAGTGCTGACTGTACAGCTATGGATGGTGTGCTTTACGTGGTTCAAATGATTCCTGTTGCGTGCTGCATGTCTCTGTTGCTTTGCTTATGAACAAGGTGTTGTTGAGTAGTCCACACTGGTCTTGAACTCGGGATTCTCCTGTTTAGCTTCCTGAGCACTGAGGTTACCATCATTATGCCAAGCTGCTCTATTTATTGTAATACCAAGATAAATTGTCTGGTAACGAAGGCAGGAGTGTACATTGAGGATGCAGAACTGGGAGAGACACCACTCAACATATGTCTCTTGAACTATGTAAATATATTATGTAATTACCCAACAAGTCATTTCTGAAGAGCCATCTGGACTTCTTCTCGGATCACTTCTGCAATGTGGTTTTTTTTCTCTATGCAAATATTACTTTTTTTTTTTTTTTTTTGTCTCAGTGTCTTAAAAGCAGCCACATCATTGTAAGATTGGGGAGATTAAACTTCTACATGCCAGAATATTAAGCAGCCATGGCTAAGTGAACCATAAACCTGTGGCTCCCTCCTGGCAATCTAGAGAGGCGTAGGTTAGGGCATCCAAGAGACTGTCTCCACCTAGGTCTCTGTGGAACTGGTTAGTCCCATGGACTGCACTTGCCTGCAGACTCTGCCTCCTATGCAGGAAAGGTGAGATAGGCCAGTTCTGACTACTTCCCTCTGCTCTACCCACTTGCCAAAGCAGCCCTTTGCTCACGACTGGTCTTCACCTCACCCTTTTTTTGTTACTTGGTTTGGTCTTTAGAGACGGGGTCTTTCTGTGTCCTCTGGGCTGGTCTTAAACTTACAGCAGTCCTTGTGCTTCGGCCTCTAGAGTTCTGGAGTTACAAATGTGTTGTTATCACATCCTGCTTTCTTCCTTCAGCCCTTGACACATCACCCCCTCTTTTGTCTGGCTTCCTTTTGCCTGCAGGAATCCTCCCCTGCAGGGGAGCTGCAGGAAGAAGAGCTTCAGCTGGGTCCCACGCAGTCCCTGTCTGCAGCTGACCAGCCTCCACTTGAATGATTGCATTACAAGAGAGACAACCACCACTGAAGTACCTGGTACCAGTGCCACTGTCACTCTTCCTTATGTGGCCAGAGGCGTCTACACACAGTTCTGTTTTGTTTTCTAGAAACAGGAAAAGCAAATACAATTCTTCTTCAGTATGAGGTGCCTTCACATAGAGTGTCTACTTAGTATGTGGGAGGCTCTGGGTTCCATCTCCAATACCACAGAGAACCTAAACAAAACACAAATTTTAGTTTCCATTTTGCAGGGATTCTCTTTCAGGCTTTCTCCTCTTTGTAGCAGGAAGTTTCTCCAGTCCTCCTGGCCCTGCAGTCCCTCGGCAGCCTATGAAAATAATCACTCAGAGACTTACATTAATTATGAACTGGATGGCCTATGGCTCAAGCTTCTTGCTAGCTAGCTCTTATAACTTAACTCATTTCTATTAATCTATAAGTTGCCACATGGCCGTGGCGTTACTGGTCTGCTGGCATCTTGCTGCTCCTTGGCAGCAGCTGGCATCTCCCCTTCCTCTCCTTTCTCCTCTCACCATCTCTCCTAGATTTTCCTGCCTGGCTCCATCCTGCCCTGACATAGGCCAATGCAGCTTTATTTATCAACCAATCAGAGCAACTCATATTCACAGCATAAAGAAAGACATCCCTTGGGCTGGAGAGATGGCTCAGCTGTTAAAGGCTAGGCTCACAAGCAAAAATAGAAGAAAGACATCCCAGAGCACCTCATCTCCTGATGAACCCACCTCTCAAATAAGCTTGACAGTCCCCAACCCCAGCACTTTTCTGAGCCCACAGCCTTCCACCCTATGAACAACCTAAGGAATAAGTCTCTCCCTTCCCAGCTGAACTTAGTCTATTGTACATATTAATTATTTCATTTAACTCGGTTTGTTTGTGCTTTTGCTTGTTTGTTTGAGACAGAGTCTCTTTGTACATATTTGGCTGGCCTCGAATTCACCATGTAGGAAATGCTGCCTCCAGATCTGCAGCAATCCTCTTGTCCCAACTTAGGTTGTCAGTACTGGGATGACAGGTGTGAATCAATATGCCCGGCTCAGCCTACACCTGGACTAGAGCTTTAGAAGAGGCCCAGAACAGAAGAATCAAAGAAGTTGTAGATGGAGACTTCCTGATCCAGAGACTCAAATAAGAAGTCTGGGCATTACATTTGAGACACTTTCACATGGAATAATAACAAATGTGTGCCAGAGGAAGGACAAATTGTAGAAGAGAATTTAGTTGTCACCTACACGGCTCGCATGATTCATAAGCTCAGCCCATGGGGCTGTGCAGTTCTGTGCTCTGCCTCGCTCTTCCTCCCCCTCGGATGGAGTGACATCTTCCTGGTTCTTTCATTAGCATCGCGTTCTCCTGCCACATAGAAAGAAGTGTCATGAAATGAGTTCCAGGTATGATATCAATGGCCTACTGTCACCATTTAAACAACAAAATTATCATTTTTAACTTTCATGCTGCTTTCAATTTTTTAACCATATAAAATATGTATTTTTGTTAAGATCTCAAAGCGTTTTTCTGAAGAGCATAGCCTTGTGTTGGTATCTAAGATGTGAAGAATGACATTTGTATAAAAGATGGATTGGTATTGCTTCTGTGTCACTGTGAAAAATAAGTTAGTATTAAGATGATTTTTAAAACAATACAGGAGAAGCAAAGCAAACAGCGAAGAGAAGTGGTAGTTCTGCACAGACGATGACGGGGTTGATTCTGAAGATTGTGTATGTGTCAGTCATTCACTATCCATGTCCTTCAGTCATTTGTCCTCCTGTCTTCACGCCCCTTCCTTGCCTTGTCTTCCTCTCCTTTCCTCCTCTTCCTTTCCTCTCTTTGCATTGTTGTTTCTGAGACAAGAGCTCACCAGATAACCTGGTCTGGACTCAAACGCACAATTTTTCTGCCTCGGCCTCCTATGTGCTAGGATCTGAGGTGTGCATGGCCATGCTTAACACAATTATAACCCCGCTTGCCTATTTCCCATAGGTTGCTCTTTCAACCTGTTTTTAATTATCTCCACCAAGCAACCCTGCTCTTCATTGGATTCCATTAATCCCTCCTACTTTAACATTCAAAGTATCTTAAGAGTCAATGAGATGCCATGGGATAAATTTCATCGTCTGAACAGGCCAATGCTACTTCATCTCTTGCAAGTGGGTTCTTTTTTTTTCCTTTAAAAGCAATTTAAATTTTTAAATGTGGTTAGAACGCATAATATAATACATACAGCCTGAACCATTTGTACATGTGTTGTTCACAAGTGTCAAGAGCGTTTAAATTGCCACACATGCAGTCTCCAGAATGTTCTAGGCTTGTAAAACAGTTACTTTTTTCACGTTAAACAATAATCTCGATAATTCTGTCTCTCAGTCTTTGTCAGCCACTATTCTATTACAATGGAGTTGGCAACTTTAGATGCCTCACAAAAATAGAATCACCTAGTGATTTTGTAAAACTGGACTCCTCAGTTTAGCAAGTATCTGCTGCCGGCATTTTCTACAGTCTCGCCCGGGCCCACAGCCCAAATAAACACACAGATGCTTATATTAATTATGAACTGTATGGCCTAATGGCTCAAGCTTCTTGCTAGCTAGATCTTACATCTTAAATTAACCCATTTCTATAAATCTATGCCTTGCCACATGGCTCGTGGCTTTCTGGTATCTTTATATCTTGCTTCTCATGGCAAGTCTCTGGACTCAGCCTTCTTGTTCCCAGAATTCTCCTCTCTGCTTGTCCTGCCTATACTTCCTGCCTGGCTACTGGCCAGTCAGCATTTTATTTATTAACCAGTCAGAGCAACACATTCACAGCATACAGAGCGATATCCACAACAAGTATCCTTAAGGCTTATCCATGTTTTAACATGCATCAGGATTTCTTTCTTTAGGAACAAGTAATAGTCTATTTCATGTGCATAATGCATTTTGTTTACCTACTCATCTGACAGTGGATATTTACATGGCTTCTGCTTCTTGGTTATTGAATATAATGCTGTTGTATTAATAGTGTGCAAATATGTTCTGTATTTACGTATTTTGCATTTATGATTAACTAGACACTGGGATTGTGGGTGTTTGTCTGTTTTTCTCGAAGGAATCTCCATAGAATATTTTATAGCAAGTGCATTATTTTATATTCCTGCTGGCTGGGCACAAGGGTCCACTTTCCCTAGCCTCCACACCAAGACTTGCTATTTTCTGTTTCTTTGACAGTGGTGCTTCTGTTGATATCTTAGTTACTGTTCTATTGCTGTGAAGAGACACCATGACCACAGCAACTCTTATAAAACATTTCATTGGCACTTGCTTACAGGTTCAGAAGTTTAGTCCATTATCATCATGGCAGGAAGCGTGGCAGCATGCAGGCAGACACAGTATTGGGGAGGAAGCTAAGTGTTCTACATCTGGATCCTCAGGCAACAGGAAGTCACTGGGCCTGGGTTGAGCATTTAAAATCTCCAAGCCCACCCGCAGTGTTATATTTCCTCCAATAAAGCCACACCAACCCCAATAAGGCCACACCTCCTAATAGTGCCACACCCTGGTGACCAAATATTCAAATCTATGAGCCTATGGGGGGGGTGCATTCTTATTCAAACTACCATGGGAGGGTATGAAGACTTAGCTCACTGTGGTTTTGATTTGCATTTCTCTAGCTATTAGTGGCAATTAACATTTTTACAGGCTCATTATTCATGTACATGTCTTCTTTAGAAAAGCATCTATTGAAATCCTTTGTCTATTTTCTTTCTTTTCTTTTTATTTGGGTGCTGAGGACTGAACCCAGCACCTAGTGCATGATGGGTAAGTGCTGTGTCATTGAACTCTGCCCTGCTCTGACTTTTACTTTGGTCTTGGGACAGGTTCTCATTAAGTTTTCCAGAATGGACTTGAGCTAAGCCTGTAACCCAAACATTCCTGGAACTTGTGATCCACCTACCTCAGCTCCTCCAGTCACTAGGATGATGGACACAGCCCTTTGTCCAGTTTCTAATCCAGTTATTTTGGGTGTGAATGTTTTTGCTGAGTTGTAGCATATCAGATATATGACCTCCAGGTATTTTTCCTGTTTTCATTCTTCCAATTATTTCCCTCAGTGCCTAGAACACTCCTTGGATATAATACCAAAATACAGATAACAAAAGAAAATTAGACCAGAGGTGTCTTTTTTCCCCTAAAACATCTGTCTGGTCATCAATCTGTGCATAACATCTATCAGTCTCTCAATTGGTGTTCTCTCCAGCTCTCTGTTTACACACACACACACACACACACACACACACACACACACACACACACTCATAATGCATATACACCTTGTGTCACAATAGCTATAAATCCGACAGTCTCTGAACAACTACTTGACTTAAACGTCCTTCCCTCACTGCTATTTGTTGAGAAGTTGGTATTCTCTCACAGCAGCTTTGGAGAACCTGGTCAGAGGTGTCTTCTCCTAATCCCTTGTGTCCATCCAAGCGTCCCAAGTCATCTCTCACCCACCCAGAGGCACAAAACTGCTTACATTGTCTGAAATACAACAGCTGTGTGTGTGTCTCCTTGCTCTGAGTACTAAACATGCTCTTCTGTTACTGGTATCAAAAGACACATTCATTTAATATTGAGATTTATGATGCGGTTAGAAAAACAACCCAGTGAATTTTTGGATCATTTTAAACTTTTTCTCTTAGAGCATTGGCTGCAGGAGGCTTTCATTAGCATTTGAATCAGTGTGTGTTAAAAGTCTATTCTGAAATGAATTATGTCTCTTATGACATTTACTTAAATTTATGAAACATACCAAAATATGTAACTTCAGCAACAACTGTTATATTTCAGTTACGAATTATGATAGACATTTGTTGCTGCATTAGTCAGGGTTCTCTAAAGGAGCAGGACTGACAGAATGAATGTGGATATTAAGGCGGGATTTATTAGACTGACTTACGGGCTATGGTCCCACAATGGCTGTTTCACATGGAGATACCTAGAATCCAGTAGTTGTTTAGTCCGTGAGGCTGGATGTCTCAGCAGTCCGAAGATGGTGCTGAAGGCCTGAAGGATTCCTGGAGAGCTGTTAGTCTTCAGCCTCTGTTGGGATCCTGAAGGAGTTAGTCTTAATATCAGTGAGTGAATACCATGGCAGCAGGATAAAGGAACTCCAGAGAGAGCAAAGGCAAGCAGGCAAAAAAGCAGTTTCCTTCTTCCGTGTCCTTTTATATGGACTGCCCCAGAAGGTACAGACCACAGTTAGAATGGGTCTCCCTGCTTCAAACATCTAATGAAAAAATCCCTCAAAAGAGCATCCAGCATCTTGGGGTTTAGTTGATTCCAGATGTAATCGGTTGACAAGCAAGACTGGCTATCACTGCTACCCATCATTCAAACAGATGTGAGAGTAGGAGGTCTTCACCAGCGCCTTCTCAGGACACAGCCCCATCTGCCACTCACTGCCCCCACAGGGGACCCTTCTACTCCAGCAGGGAACTTCCTAGAGATAGCAGTCCTCGTTGCCACATTTGCATAACCCAACCATACAAGTGGAAGTGGGAAAAACTCGGCTCATTTATAGATCCTGTGTTTGTCAACATGTATACTATCGTAGCTGAAATTTTATTGTAATCCTACATCAACTCTTGAAGCAATTCATGGACACTAGACATGCACGGAGAGGTAAAATTTTGCCTCTCCAACAAACAGCTTCTCAGCTGAAGTAGAAGAAGTGGATGTTCTACTTTATGTCAACCCTTGTCCTATAAATAGTGCCTCTTTCAGGAGCCATTTTTCTATCATCTATGTATCTATCTATCATCTCTCATCTACCCACAAATCTCGATTTGTGTGTGGTTTTTCTGTTGGTGAGTTCATTGTTTGGCCCCAAGGAAAGTGCGGAAGTACGGTGCAGAGAGACTGTCCTGTCTTCCGGGGAACACATACATGCACATCAGCTGCTTTTCTCACTGCTGTGACCCAACACCTGAGAGGAAGGAGCTGAAGGAAGGAAGGGTTTGTTCTGACTTGCAGTTTAAGAGAGGACACCGCTCCCCACAGTGGGGCAGACATGGCGGCGGCGCTACCAGCGACCAAAGTCAGAAAACAAGAAGTGGACAGAAGTGAGGCTGGGCTATGGAACCCAAAGGCCTGCCTCCAGGAACCCGTTTCCTTCGCTGGAAGTCTACCTCCTAAAACCTTTCAGAACAGTCTGCCGGGAAGTTCCTTTCGGGATGATATGGTGCAGTTAGTACCAGCTCTGTTAACATACCAACCATGTGCACGATAGTCCTCCCTTATTCATAGAGCAAATGTCACCCAGTAGATATAAAACCTGCAGATAGAGCTGAAAACAACAACAAAACCCCCAAATATGAAGAATAAGACAGTTATAGTAAATGCAGGTCCTGAGAAAGGTGATGGGTTCAGGCAGTTCCAGGGACCCAGGGGGCAAAAAAACTACTAGGGAAAATAAGAATTAGCTATACTGGCCTCTCATCCTAATAAATATGCATCCACAAGACTAAGAGGCATCTTCTGAAGTATCAAAAGAAGCATCAGAGAGTAAAGTGCTACCATAAATTTCTTGGAGGCTTATACACAGGTCGACATTATTTGGAAGAGCAATAAAGACATAAATGATTCATTTATTATCAAGTATTCTATAGATTTCTTTTACTTGCTTATTTTTGTTAAAGTAAAACTTTCATACAATTGGTCTATGGTTTAGACTAAACCAAAAGACTAAAAACATAACTGTATAATACAAACAAAGTATCCATATTTTAAAATTTTGTTGTTACATGTCTGTGTTTCTTTTGTGTTTCTATGTGTGTATTGTGTGTATGTGTGTTTGTATAAACAGTGAATATGTGGAGGTCCATGGACTAGTTCTCTTCTTCCACCTGGTTCAGAGGCAGGGTCTCTCAGTATTTCTGTTGTTTTGTTGTGCACTCCAGACTGGTTGACCCACAAACTTCAACAGAGACTCTTCTGTTCCCACCTCCAATCTCACTGGAGAAGTGCTGGGATCACAGGTACATAATGTCGCATCCTTTCTTATATGAGTTCCAAGATGAAACCCAAGTTGTCAAGCATGTATTGCAAATGCTTTTGCTCGTTAGGTCATTTCTTAAGCCTATATTTCCATATATTGTTTAAAGTTATTTTTTTCTCCTAAACAGTTCAAGTTATCTATTCAATTAAAAATCTAAAGTACAAGGATAAAAATGAATAGTAATTATTGAAATGGAAAAAGAGAGGGAGACACCTTGGGCCAGCCAGGCAGCTGCCAGCCAGCAAGACACAGAGAGGGACAAGCAGAATGAAAGAAAGTTAAAAAAGATCCTGAAGCAGAATATAGATAAAGAGAAATAGGTTAAATTAAGTTATAAAGGCTAGTAAGAAAAGAGCCCAAGCCAAGGCCGAGCATTCATAACTAATAATAAGTTTCAGTGTCATGATTTGGGAGCTGGTTGATGGCCTAAAAGATAGCCTGCTCCATATGCAGGGATTACAAATTGAACTAGAATAGAGCAGGAAACGGATGTGAGATTGCAGTGGAGAACACTTCACAATGCAAAGACAAGATTGACAAATCAATGAGTCCATCTTTCTCCTAAATGATTCCTCCAGTTAAACCCTGCCCTGCCCTGAAAAGCAGGGTTTGTATCTGCCGATCGCAGAGATACAGCCCCCCACTCCCCCAATTCCCACAACATCCAAATGAAGTTGTCTTTTGTCTAAGGATGTAGGGCAAAGACATCAAAAAGTATTTGCCTGAGGAAGAAATGAAGTGTCCTGAAAAGGGAAGTCTAAGGTGATGAGAGGCATTGTAGCAGATCTGAGCACTGAATTCATCCCACGTCTAATGCCCCAATGGTGAGTCCCTAAGGAGGATAAGGGCCAAGTGTGAGAAAGAGGATTAGTACACCCACCCCTTATCTAACTATGGCAGAGCACACATCTGGCCATTGGCTGGACCCAGCCTCCCGGAAGTCTGGTGGCTGTGAGCCAGCATTCTGCATCGAAGGCCCCTGACTTGCTTGACTATAGCCCTGATCTAAATGAAATCCTACCTCCTAGTCAGAGCTGCATTCCTGCTTTTTACCATCCAGGATACACTTTCTAAATCATTTCATGCTGCTTGTATGATCCACCCAGGGCTTCTACCTGTGGAGTTCTGCTCCATCGACTGTCTAGACAAATAGTCTGTTCCAACCTTGCTCTGAATTAAAGCCACACTTCTTTGTTTTGTGACCAACATTTTTATTAGCACCGAAGCCTGAGTCCAAAGTCTCATATATGCCGCACAAGCTCTACCACTGAGCTTCAATACACCTCTTGTTTTCTTTCTTTAGCCTTATTTTTGAGAGGTCATGCTGTACAGCCCAGGGTGGCCTCAAACACATAATCTCTCGGCCCCAGCCTCCTCAGTCATGGGATCTCAGACGTGAGCCACAACACCTCGATTAACCCACTTTGTAATTCTGTTTATCTTGGACACACAACTCCTCTCTGCAGCTGAGACAGATAACAGCAGAGAGAGCAAGCATACGTCAAAGGCCTGCTGAGTATAAGGTTACAGGTCCAGTTTCCCTGTGGTCCAGATGCTCAGGCAATCCACTCGTCTTCTTAGATGTCTTAAGCGAGACTCACTAATTTTATAGGAAAAACAGATTTTCTAATAAATTCATTAAAAAGGATCCATATAAGAAAAGTTATTACATAGATTTGACCCCTGCTCTTTCTCCTAGGGGATGACATTGTCATGGTTCCATTAATACCTGAACTGCACTTTATTTTACGAAGGGACTCAGGTATTCACATAGAAAAGCAGAGACAAGGAAATGATGAGAATCACCATTATTGGTCCAAAATACCCCAAGTGTCCCAAACCACAAGGCACGAAAGAGTTAAATCATTTTCCCCAAGGTCTCCCTGAATGTCAGTCAAAGATCTGGGCTTGGAGCCTGAGTTTCAGGAAGCAACCTGCATCCTGATACTTAATCAATGAGGTACTTTGTTTATTTAAGCGTTCTCTCTCAATATTTGTATCCCAAGCCCTACAGCATGGAACCAACAATGTCTGAGAAACTAGGAAGGAAACTTGATCCAAAGCTAGGTGAGTGCCAATTTCTGACCCAGGAAGAATAAAGTGAAATCCATCTGGGCACAGCAAACCATGAAATAAAGTTTCTTCTTTTGAGGTTTCCTCTGCCCGACTGCTGGATGAACTTGTAGCTGAGAGTATTGTAGTAGATGCCCTCCCACGAGGAAGATTGCTCACCTTCAACCCAGATTCGCTCATACTCAGTGCAGCCACACTGTAGGATCGTCTCTGAGAATCTGCTATCACAGATTGGACTTGGACTTTCATGAGATACCATCATTCATCTTAAAGGGTGGAAGGAGGGCAGTGAATGGTGGCCTGCATGGGGTGGGGGGGATTGCTTTCCTCTAGAGACAGGGCCAAGTGCAAAGTGAGAGCAGTGTGTTTCCCAGTCTAATAGACTTCTGGTTCACCTGGATGCAGCCAGAGTCTACATACCATTTCTTTCTTCCTTTCTTCTTCTTTTTTTTAAATGATCACCTGAGCCTTTATTGATTGTAATCTTGGTGGCAGGTGGCTTGCCTCCCCTGAAATTGATGGCTGCAGAGTGATCAGTGTTGATTGCTGAAGGCTGAGATGACTTGAAAATGTACTTTGTTTTCTTGCAGTAAACCCTTTCATCTACACATTTTTACACGTAGGAATTCATCACAAAGAATCACTTATCTGGTTCGAGGCCCCTGGACTCTGCTACACCGTCGACACAGGGCCCTCACCGGGACTCTTCCTGGACATTCTGTTTCTGCCCTGTGTCATAGAGATCCTGCAGCCCTGGGTCCACAGGACTGACACCCCCCACACACCCCTGTGCTCCAACAGATCACCGATGGAGTGGATGTTGGGGTGGGCCAACACATAACCCTGGTTCTGGGCCTGGTTAGTTGCAGGGTTGGTCAACCCGCCAGCTCTCCGTGGTCTTCACCACCAGGGTGAGCTCTCCAGCACTGCCCTGACTAGTTCACCCCTTGCAGCAATGAGCAAGGGGTGGGACCAG